GGGGTCATGAGATTGAGCCCCATTTGGGGCTCTGCGCTCAGCGTGGAGTCTGCCTGAGATTCTCTCCCTCTGCCTCTGCCCTTCCTGTGCTCATGTGTGCACACTCTCTCTCAAAATATATAGGCAAAATCTTTATTAAAAAAAAAAAAGTGGTCATGTAACACAAATTTACAGAACATAGAAAAATAGATCATTTTTCTTTAAGACATCAAAAATCTACTATGTGATACTAGAAGTATTTGGTCTTACTTCAGGCTCTATGAAGTGAAGGTTCTTATTGTGCCAAAAGAGACTGTCCCACTTTCATGGCTTCTCATTTTGTTCTTTTCAATACCATCACATACTACATAATCTTTTTTATTCAATACAACTGAAATTAATGACAGTCAAAACAGCAGACTGCAATGGGGAAATGTAAAAAAATGTAAAAAATGTAAAAAAAAAAGTAAAATATAAATGTAAAAATGTAAAAAAAATTACACCTTAAACATTTTCTTTGAACTTCAAACCTGTAAATGTATTATTCTGTTGCCAGTCTTTGGATGCAGGCCTTCTGAGTTATAGATCCACTGACTACAGCTCCAGTCCCACACAAACCACACCCAAAATGCATTGTCCAAATTTCTAGTTTCAATTTCTTTAAAAGTGAAGCAAGACTTAAAAGATGCTTGTCAAGGATCTAAATGAAGAATTCTTCCAGCTTACAAAAATAAAAAATATTTTGTAAACATTTAAAGGTATCTCCTTATTGGCTCACCTCTTACAGTCTTTCCAAGGCAGTTAACTTAGTTTTCAGAGAATCAACAATTCTCACATTTTACAGTTACATTTCTTAGGATTAGGAAATTTTACATTAAATTATATAATTATAACGCAAGTGCAAGTTGTCATAGTGCAACCCTTTCTAAGTCTGTAATTCAACCAGTAGGCATCGGTATGTCTTACAAAAAGAGAACACAATTTATTGACTAGCATCCCTGTTACAAAAGATTTAAATTCACTTCTTATTGCTCTTATTGTACTTGGAACAATACCTGGCACATAGTAAGTACTACTTAAGTATTTGCTACTATATTAGCATTAAAACTAAACTAGCTACAGGGGTGGCTGGCTGGCTCAATAGGAAGAGAATGTGACTCTTGATCTCAAGGTCATGAGTTTGAGCTCCATGTTGGGTAGAGATTTAAATAAATAAATAAACTTAAACAAACAAACTACAGGGTCCTGGATGGCTGTCGGGTAAGTGTCCAACTCTTGATTTCAGCTCAGGTCATGATCTTAGGGTCTTGACAATCAGACCCGCATCAGTCTCTACGCACAGCATGGAGTCTGCTTGAAGATTCTCTCCCTCAATCCACTCCCGACTCTCACAAGCTCTTTAAACAAACAAATAAATCTTAAAAACAACAAAAAAACCCCACTAAACTAAACTAGCTACAGAGTGCATGCAATGGTGGAATTCTAGCTACTTTACACAGCCCCTGGAGTCAGAGACGACCTGTACTTTGTCAAAATGGGGCTCCTGGCCAGCTCAGTCAGTGGAGCATGCGACTCTTGATCTTGGGGTTGTGACTTCGAGCCCCATGTTGAATAGAGAGATTACTTTAAAAAATAAAATGTTAAAAAAGTGAGAGAAAGAGCAGAGGAGGGAAGAGAAACTGCAATAGGTCCTCACTGAAAACACATGAATACAAGGCAGGCAGTTTCACATAACTACAAGTGGATTATCCAGTACTTAAGGGAGGAGATCTTAAAGAAAGAAGGAGACTAGCTCACATACCAGGTCAACAAGAAATGAAAAAGTAGGTTCACAGCCCAATATAACCTCATCACCTCAAAAATGCTAAGAAGATGGTTACATGTCCTCCTAAAAAGTGGCACTAGATAGAGAAGGAAAACCAGCTGTATTTTCTCAAGACATATTAATTAGGCTACTTTCCTCCCACTAATGACAGAAAACACCAAGCTCTTAAAAAAAAAATCCATGCAGTGCACCCCAAGGCACAAAACAAATCTTTTGGTTTACTGATTATGAATTAAAAACACTAACAGAAACTGAATGCATATAAATGCAATATGCAAAAAAATTTCTAATTTGTGGATTAAAATCCTAGACATCAGTGAAGAGCAACTGAAACATAAATGATGAATGTGGTAGCTTTACCATTTTGTTTTCGCCTGAGTTTTGTGATGCAGATCTAGTTTGCAGGTGTAGAAAAACTTGAAGCAACATGAAGGAAGATATATTAGCAACCAGAAGTTTAAACACCACAGCTACTTAAAACACTCTTGTCCATTAGGAAAGAATCCACAGTGGCACTAACTTTCTTCCTTCTATGGACATCAAAAAGTACTGAAAATGGTATGAATAGTTAGGAGAAACTCAAGAGACAGCCCCTGAGGGCTACAGCAGTCCCACTAGATGGCACTATCACAGGAAAGTCACCCGGTTCTCCCATTTAGAGCAAGGGCTGAAAGCTCTCTTGATCTTTGCGAAACTGAAAACTATCAATTCAATGACATCCGCGTTGGGAAATTATGTTATGACCCATAATGAGGAATTCAAAACTAGGAGGAGTTTCTCTCAAAGCACCTTTTCTCCCAGTAGCATGGCCTCCTCCTCCCCAGTCCTATTTCAAATCAGTGGTCTAAGGGATACCATGTCTTATAGGCAAAGGAAGTCTCACAAAATGGAGATTTTTTTCATCTTCTTAACTCCAAGCTACAGAAAAATTTACTTGCTCCCCCCTACCCCCCAGAGATTCTTTGCTATGGAAAAAAAAAATCAATCTTGATCCTTGTACATTTACTGTCGTCAGTATACTTACAATGACTAAAAACATCGATATAACATGCAATTAGGGACATTAAAACGTGTGGATATAAATAAATTTCTTATATATAAGAGGAAAAACTTCCTATTAAACAGGCAGATTAAGTTTCCTGACACCTTAATTACATGATTTTAACTTGGGCCTGGGCAGCAAGATTCACAATGTCCATTATCCCCATCACTTATGCCCTACTCCATCAAAAGTATACCTGGATATAGCTATCATGACCTTAAAAACTGAAGAAAAGAAAGGCATACTGGGGCGCCTGGGTGGCTCAGTGGGTTAAAGCCTCTGCCTTCGGCTCGGGTCATGATCCCACTGTTCTGGGATCGAGCCCCACATCAGGCTCTCTGCTCAGCAGGGAGCCTGCTTCCTCCTCTCTCTCTGCCTGCCTCTCTGCCTACTTGCGATCTCTATCTGTCAAATAAATAAATAAAATCTTTAAAAAAAAAAAAAAAGAAAGGCATACTAATGACAAAACCCAATGAATTTAAACAACATACAATTTGAATACAAACTTACTTTTATTCCATAGGTGATCACTTGAACAGACAGATTTGGATATGAAATTTCTGCTGAATTCCCAAATTAAAAGACACATCAAAAGTCATTATTAGACAATCAACTGAATCAGAGCTCAATTTTATACTCAAATATACTGCTCACTTCCAGCTGAAGCTACTTCTCCTAGATAAGAGAACTCATGTTTATACATGTATCTTTAATATCCATCAACAGTCACTACAGCCACTCCAAAGTGCCACAAGTCCATTATTTAATAACAGTGGCCAAAGAAACCAAGAACTACAAAATGTGGGGTGCCTGGGTGGCTCAGTGGGTTACGCCTCTGCCTTTGGCTCAGGTCATGATCTCAGGGTGCTGGGATCGAGCCCCACATTGGGCTCTCTGCTCAGCGGGGAGCCTGCTTCCCCTCTCTCTCTGCCTGCCTCTCTGCCTACTTGTGATCTCACTCTCTGTCAAATGGATGAATAAAATCTTTAAAAATAATAATAACTATAAAATGTGTAAGAAATCCTGTGTTCCCATAGCACCTTGTCACAGCTCTAATACAAATCTCACCAAAGTATCATTTCCCTCTCACTTTCTCCACATCAGAGGCTTGGAGGCACTGAGCTATCTATCCTTCCTGAAACCCTGCACAATGCCTAGTATACAGCAGGCACTCAATAGCTACTGAACGAACAAAAAAACTATCAGGCTACTCCAGCTCACCAAAACTATGAGACCCTCAAAGCAGCCAGTTTTCCAACTAAACCTTGCCAACACCTTCTCCTTTAAGAAGCTGCTCACCAAAGCCTGAGACTAACATTTAGGTCACCGTAAGAAGTAAGATTTGCTGCAAAGCACAGACAGAAATGTATCGCATTAAGTCAAAGATCAAAAATTCCCAAGTCTCAAGGCCAAATAATGCAACAATCTCGGATTGGTGAAGCTTTTAAATAAAACATAACAAATATATGTTACATGTTGTATTAAAATCATAAATATATTGCACTAAAACCATCTTATGAAAGCAGAGGGGTGAACTACATGAGGACGCATAGGAAGCCATTAACGCTGCTTAATTTAACCAAACATTAATGGGGTCTTGATCTTACTTTATGCTCCTAGTACAAAAATGAGGAGTAGAAGGAAAAATAGGAGGAAGGAGAAGGCAGTCTGGCGGGTGCAGCCAGGAGTCTGTTGAACTGCAGACTGGGAGAACTAACAAACTTAACAGAAGCAGATTTTTCAAAACTCTAGCATGTAACTATCCAAAAACAAAAACAAAACAAAAACCTGTAATGAATCTATGCCAAGTTCTTTCCATTAACAGCTTTTTTTTTTGAATGACTGAGTTTTGGCAAAATATGGCACAAAATCCAGATACACAACCCCAACCCCATCAGTATCCTTGCAGCAAGACCCATGGGAAACCTCTCCCATATTAGAGGGGAAAGAGAAGCATATACCCTCACTTAAAATCCCTTCAATACTGTTAGGTTAGTGCAATGACTGGTAGGATCTAAGAAAAGTTCACTGGAACCATGAGCTGATCTCCCCTGCAAATCTATCCGTATGGCCCACCCAAACTGATCTCTAATTGATATCTAAATGTGTTTCAATTACACTATGAACAGTGTTCATGATCAGGATTTTACTCACCTTACTAACACCAACTCCTGTAAACCTGGCCTCTAATAATTCCTGCCTTCGAGGGTCCAGGCTATGCAATTCTTCCATCATTTCTACTGAAAAAGACAAAGTAAGTTGTAAGACCAGAAAAACTAAAACATGAGATACCAATTTTTAAATACAATAAAATGCAGTAATTATTTCACTGAATGTTCACACACAGGTAAGCCTCAAGTAAATACAACAATACAAAGAACAATACATTTAAGTTCAAAATGGCTCAGAAGTCCTCTTCCAAGGGCTACTTATCCTTGTCTAGTTCTGATCTGATTTTAACAGCAAAAAACCTCAAACCCTTCATATAATCTCCATAAAAGTTGAGCAAGGACTAACTTGCAAAGTAACAACAAAAAAATTCCTCCTACCAAGCTTTGAATTTAACTAAGTGCTTCTGGATATTTGTTTCCCAAACCCACAGGAACTAGTTCTTAAACTAAAAAATATGAATCATTAATAATAATTTAAAAATAATGTAGCATGAATCAGAAGCTACAAATAACTTCAAATAACTCTATTATATTATATAGGTCCTTTCTCTGAAGAGCTCACAGGAGCTCATGAAAAAAGGAATTAATTATTTTAAATTTAATAGAGAACCCATGGTAAAACCATCAACCAGCATTCACTCAGGAAATTAGTAGAGCTCCATAACCATCCCTTTAGAAAATCTTTTTCTGACCACTCCCTGGAGCAGTAGGTTTCTCTAGACATCTGCTTTTAGCACTCCTTCCAAGCAGGGAAGGGCAGGAGGACACCATTTTTAAACTCCTTCCACGACCAATAAATGCACAGGCTACTTTCAGCAAATATGTCCATCCACTGCAAGAGATGAACTCTCGCAGAACCCACTGGAAACCTCTCCAGTATTAAAAGTGGAAGAGGAGCATACACCATTACACAGACCCCCTTTGAACATATTACTAAACAGCGATCGGAACGATTGGCATGATTTAAAAGTTCACTGGGAACATGAATTAAACATTCCCCTCTGCAATCTAACAACTCCACATTAACTGTAACAACCCCTACCAGTCCTCCAGTTTCATTTCCCTTCCTGGATTGAGAGCCTGGGGCAAAGGGGAATGAAAGGGTGACAAATTAAAGTTTCACCCTCACAAACAAGTGCAGGTTAGCGAGGGAATAAGGGAATTCTCGAAAAAGGCAGAAAGGCATCTTAAAAAAGAAAAAGAAAGGAAAAGGGAGATTGGGAGAGAATCTTTTCCCCCCTAAGTGGCCTTCCTCGCGTCCGGCCCTGCCCTAATCAAGGCCGGAATGGCAGAGGTTGCAGCTTCCCTCAAACCCTAGGGTCTCTCGGAACATTTCCTAAACCTCCATCCCCAGGCCTGGCCAGGAAAATGACGCCCCAGCGGTTATTCCATTTAATGTCAACTCATGTTAAGAAAATCTCCACTCTGTCTCATTCCAGCGGGGCCTTGGACTGGGATCCTCCCTGCAGCCCTCCCTGCAGCCCTCCCTACAGCCGGGAAGCAGAACCGATGGGGCCTGATCCCGGCGCCCCTCGCCTCCCGCCGGCTCCAAACTTTCCCCAACTCCAGGCCCACCTGTCACGGAGGGAGGGCGGGCCGGCTCTCGGGGGCGCCCGGGAGGCTGCCGGGGCCTGCAGCTGCCGGGGCGTCCCCTTCGCCCTGGCGGCCGCCGGCCCCACTCCCAGGCCGGGGCCGCCTGGGCCTCCCCCATCTTCAGCCCGGCCCCTCGGCGACCCGCAGCCCTGGGGGAGCCCCCCCCCCGCCTCAGCGCCGAGGAGCTGCGGCCCGGCGCCAGCCCTCGGGTGGGCCCGGGCCGCAGCCTTCTCAGCTGAGGGGGTCCCCCGGACGGTTAATGCCCCAGGCCCGGCGCCCTCCCCCGCCCGGGGCTCAGCCTCTCACCTGCCGCCGCCGCCGCTCCACGCTCCTCCTGGGAGGGGCCCCGACCCGACCCGGCCGCGGACCGCTCTGCTCTCCCCCTGGGCAGGCCCGGGGCGGAGCCGGGGCCTCTCCTGAGCGCCGCAACCCCCCGCCCGGGCAGCCGCCGCCGGCGCCGGGCTCCACGAGAGGGCGGGCGGGGGAGGGGGGCCGCGGAGGCCGCAGATCCCCGGGCTCGCGTACAGAGCCAGGCGCCTGACGCGGGCCCGGGCCCGGGCGGCCGCGGGGGGCGCGGGACCGGCCTCCTGGCGCCGGACAAAGGCCAAGGGAGGCGCAGGAGGGCCCAGGCCGGGCCGGGAGGTGGGGGCCCGCTCGGCTGGGGGCCACTCGGGTGCGGCGCGGAGGGCGGGGGGGTCAGAACCGCTGGTGCCCAGGACCCGCCTCCGGCCCCTTAATCCGGATCGGTTCGGTCCGGATTAGTAGTGATCGGTGTAAACACACTAGTGAAACCGCGTGTTTCCTCGCGAGATTTGCACGGCTGGGAGGCGGGGGGGGGTCCTGGGGGGGTGGGGGAAGAGCCGACAGTGGGGAGGAGGGGGAGGGGACGAGGAAGGTGGGGGGGTCCCCGCTGCCCCGGCGCCCCGCCTCCTCCAATCAGCGGCCAGGCTGGCGGGCAGGGGTTAACCAGGGGACCCCGCGCCGGCGGAGGAGGCCGCCGCCTCGCCGGGTGGCTGAGGGAGGACGCACGGGCGGCGCCGGCGACCGGCCGCTCGGAGCCCGACCCGGGCCGGAGTCCGGGAGCCCCCGCCGCTGTCCGTGGGCTACCGGCCCCCGGCTCGCGGGACCGGCCCGGCCGAGGCGGTTGAGCCGGCGCCCTGGGCCGCGGACCGGCGCTGGAGGGGCCTCCCAGATCCGCCTAGCCGAACCCCGCTCCCGTCTAGTCCCACGTCTCCACGAGTTTGGGTGAGAACTGGGCTCGCTCTACCCGGGGATTGATCTTAGAGGAAGAAAGCCCGTGAGCCGGCGGACCCCGCCCGAACTTCCTCGGAGACGCCCAGTGAGTTCGCTGTGCCCACCGCGTTGGCTTCTCCGCCCCGCCACTCTCCAAAGGGACCCTCCGGCTCCCCAAACCCACACCGGCCGCCCTGGAAAGCGGACAGCCACTTTCCCTCCACATACCTGGCTGGCAGAGGGCGCCTCTAGGGACAAAAGGTGCCCTGGGATCAAAGCTGAGCCCCCACCCCAGCCGGGATGCTGCCCTCTGGAAGTGGGGGGAGGGCGCTACCCCAAAGGGACACCCGAACACCCAAAGGGGAGGTTCTATTTCAACCTCTGACAAGAAAAACAAAACAAAACAAAAACAAAAACACGGCCCTCTTGGGTACTTAGCGGGACCTGCGGGTAAGTGCTAGCATGGAAAATACAGGTCTGCCCTTCACAGAATGTCTACTGAGGAATGAGAAATAGGAAGGGGTGAGCTCTTGTGCGCGGTAGCCCCTGCAGCAAGGAGGGCCTCCTGCATAGGAGAAGCTCCCACTCTGATCACCCAGCACCAAATGGAAAAAAAAAAAAAAAAAGAAAAAGAAAGAAAGAAAAGCACATTCTCCACCGACTCCTAGGAGCCAGGACACTTGACTTCAATGCAAATACTCAACTTTGTATTTTGCTCTATCTCTTCCTTGATCAGACGTGTGAAGAGGATTTAAGGAATACAAGTAATTCACAAGGGGAAAATTCAGACAATGAACAACAGCCTTGAACTTTTCCAGGGGGTAGGCCAGTACTTCAAATGGAGTTTTTCTCTTATTTTTTCTTAATTCATGTTATATTAACATAACACAGACTTGCCGAAAGGGCAGAGGATGGCAGTTTACTTTTTGTTCATTGCTCGACCTTCCATACCCTTGGACCAATTCAGGCACTGTAGGGAAAAAAATCCATTAAACCAAGAGTCACCTTGCCCCAGATCCCAGCCAGATTGGAAAATGCACACACATATTTTCAAAGGGGGAGGGGAAGAGCCAACTGGGGGTAGAGGGTAGGGAAAAAGGCCAAGGTGGAGGGCTGTCAGGAGAGCCAGAGAACTGAGGAGCAGATAGAATACATAGGACTTGCCTTCCCCTCCAACACAAAAGACCAGCAAATGAGGCAAGCTCTTGGGTTATGGTGAATGATCAAGAAAGCAACTCCTTGGGGCACCTGAGTGGCTCAGTGGTTAAGCCTCTGCCTTGGGCTCAGGTCATGGTCTCTATGGGATCTAGGGGGTCCTGGGATCTAGGGTCCTGGGATCTAGCCCCGAATCAGGCTCTCTGCTCAGCGGGGAGCCTGCTTCTCCTTCCCTCTCTGCCTGCCTCTCTGCCTACTTGTGATCTCTGTCAAATAAATAAATAAAATCTTGGAAAAAAAGAAATGAAAGCAACTCCTTAAAGAGACCGGAATGTCAAGGGAAAAGACTTTAAGAGAAGGAGCACTGGACAGAGTCAGAGCTGAGTTCCAGTCCAGCCGCTCCACAGACAAGCATTGACCTATTACCCAACCTTCTCAAGCTTTGCCAACCTCATCTACAAAGAAAGGGTTTGGACTAGATTTACAAAGTCCTTTCCAGGTCTAAAAGGCTATGATTCCATTTTATGAGGTAATTGTCTCAAATAATCAGTGGAATAAGGGGAAAAGTTATATTTTTAGTTTCAGTTTTCCTAGTGTGTTTTTTCTCTGTGTCAAAGAACTTACACCGTCATAGGTCTATTCACAGCCCCACTCTAGATTTAACACTCATCCTAGTAGGAATTGCTTGTAGGAATTTAATGAATTTGCTTACCACAAAGATTGGGTGCTTCTAATTATATGCATTGTAAAAATGAAGATATCAAGTGTCGGGAGCACGGGAAAAGAACTTTACCCTTTCCCAGAGAAAGATGGGTAATTTCAAAATAAATTATGTTGTCAGATGGTTCCTCTCACAATGTGATTGAACCTTGGGTTCATGAATCAATTTGTTTAAAATGTGTTTGCTCACATGGCAACTACGTCAGACTCAGCTTGTCATAGACCGGCAAATGGTGACATGCCCCATGCAAGGACCCAATTCCCATTAGCTGTGGAAGGCTCAAACACAGATCCAACTAGAAGATGTGCATATTGATGATCTGCTCCTTGTCTCCAGGGGAACGTATGACCACTCCTCCAAGTTCATGTTCATAGTCACAGGGAAGACCATGGAGAGAGCTCGCTGGACATGCTTTAGTCTAGTCCTGTGTTCCCCAAGGTGTGCTCTGGAAGCTTCGATAGGTTAATATGCTTTAAAGGGAGTAGCCACACATTGGTCCTTGGGAAACTCTTAGTTAAAGTGAAGTGGAATCTGTTACTTCAGTACTACTTGCCCAAAACGTCTAATAGGCATATGGCAGTCGGGTTGGGGCAGGGGTGATGGAGGTTTTCAGTACTTTTCCATTTAATTTTGGAACCACCACTCTGGTTTTGATTGGTTGGCTGGTTGGTTGGTTGGTTGAGTGTAGTCATGGAAAAGGTGTTCTGAGACACTGGGGGAAACTGGTTTAACCTCCTTTTGCTTTTTGACCTGTACCACACTAATGACTGTCCAGCATCTCCTTGAATGTTTCATAATATCCACCATCTGCAAGCAAAAAGATCCTGGCATGTGATACTGAGCAGGTTGACAGTCTTAGTGTGATTGCACCTTTTCTAAAAGGAGCCTGCAATGTGGTGGCTTAAGACGACACACTTACTAGGCAGTGTCCTTGATTTTAATCCATTCTGCCCCTTATCAGCTGTGTAGCCTTAAGCAAGGTATTTAAGTTCTCTGCGCCTCAGTTTCTTTATCCACAAAATGGTGTTAAAATCTCCCAGGACTGTTGGCTGTTGGCGGATTAAATGAGATCCTGAATGGCCCCCAAACTCCACATTTCTGCAAAGGATTTATGTACATTTGTCATTAGACTGGTCTAAGGACACACAGATTAACTTTGGAAGCCCAGCTGCCAGTGTACTGAGTTGTTTAGGTGTTTTGTCTCATAACAGAAAAGGGACAAAATAAAAGGAAAAGGACTTGATATCTTCTTAAAGCATTACATTTGTCGGGAGTGGGGAGGACGGGTGTGGGGAGTAGAGAAAAACAGGTCATCTGCCCAGTCTCTATGCTGTTCTTCCCCCACACCCAAGAATTGTGGGTTTCTCATCATATGAATACATAAGAAATGGCATGAAGGCAATATTTCCACTATAAATTGCACTAGATGGGACAGTGTAGAATCCTAAAGTATTTGTAACTGGACAGACTTAAGTTTCCAATCCTGACTCCACCTCTCGGGTTCCCCATCTGAAAACTGGCCAGCACACCTAATTCCATGAGTTGCTTTAATTAAAACCAAAACAGTGATGGGAAATGGCTTATTGCCACGCCTGACCTACAGTAGGTGTTAAGTCAACGTTTTCTCTCTTCTCCCCATTCCTAACAAAAGGAGAAAGTGGTTGGTTCCCATGATCCTGCACTACAAATTTTTAAAATCCAGATCCCAGCCTTTGTCAAACTCTGCCAGTCATTCTCCTGTCTCTGTGTTTGTCATGGCCTCCTCCCACTGAACTTGCTTCACAAACTTCTCTTGAGCAAGTGCCCTTGACACCGTTTGCTTTATTTATCAAGTCATGCATTCTTCCCCACAGCGCACTGATGGGCAGGGGGGGAGCAATCTTCTTATTCTCCTGGAGAGTACCTCCCATTTCTAATTTCCTCTTCCAACTCCCTCCCTGAAAGTTATTTTTTTAATAAATTTCTTTTCCCTGCATCATGTGTTCCTTCTTCCCAGCAGCTGAAATGCAACAGAGAGCAAAAGAGAGTAAATGTACTTAAATGTAACAAGACCCTTCCCTTAGCTACTGAAACCCCCCTATTGGTTGTGCTCAGAAAGAAAACTTCAAGTTGGAAAGAACAGCAAACATGGTATTTGTGGAAAGTGGCAAAAGTATATTTTTAAAGTCTCAGTTCTGTTGGCTTTTTAAAAAAAAAAAAATGTCTTCAAAGTTTATAATTGTTTAGTAACCTCTGTACCCTATGTGGGACCGGAACTCAACCCCAAGATCAAGAGTTAGGTGTTCCCCTGACTGAGCCAGCCAGGCGGCCTAATGTTGGCTTTTTATGTTAGGTTTAAGTCATCAACCTTCTGACACAGTAACACAGGTCATGAGGGAAAGGGAGCCCGAGCCCCAGGCCCATAGAAAGGAAAGAAGGATCACCCGGCGTAGGGCAGGAGGCTTGGGAATGGCCAGCCCCTAAAGGCAAGTCAGAAGATGAGCCCTTTTCTGTACAGCCTCTGAGCTAAGAATGAGCTTTACAATTTTAACTGTTGAAAGAAAATAGGAGGAGGAATAGTATGGCACATGAAAATTACATAAAATTCTAATTTTGGCATCCATAAATAAAGTTCCATTAGAACACAGCCACACTCATCCTTTACATGTCTGTGGCTGCTTTTGCACCACAGAAACAAAACAATAATTGTGACAGGCCAGTAAAACCTGAAATCTTTCTATCTGGTCCTTTACAGAAAGTTAGTCCACCTCGGCTCTGGGCCAAGGACTTCTCAAATTGTAAGGAACATATATAACCCCTGGGCATCTTGCTAAATGCAGGTTCTGGCTTATAAAGTCTGGGATGGGGCCTGAGACTCTGCATTTCCAGCAGCTCCCAGGTGATGCCCTTGCTGTTGGTCTGCAGACCATACTGAATATCATGGCCTTGAAAGTCTTGTCCGTTTTATGTTTAATTTTTGTGAATGATTTCTACATAAGCAAATCTTAGAAAATACGAAAACTTGGGAGTGTAACCCAGGATAATAACCTCAAACAGATTTTCCACGTTTCATCCCATATTTTGGCATCATGTAATGGCCTAATGGCCATGGAAATGGACTTACTGGCAACCTTGCTGGGGCCAAAGGGACTGCAACCCCAACATTCCTGGGATGTGAGGCTCCCTTGTATTTGCCGTAAACTTACCATTCTGGCTCCAGAAAGACCCTTCTGAGTTCACCTTATCCAACTTATTCTTAAAGAAAAAAAAAGATGATTTTATTTGAGAGATAAATAAAATCTCTCATTTTATTGGATTGGGTTGGGGGAGGGGTGATGGAGGTTTTCATCCTCCATGGATGGAGGACGGAAGGAGGGAGGAGGGGAAGGAGAAGCAGCAGACTCTCCACTGAGCAGGGAGCCTGATGCGGGACTCGATCCTAGGACCATGGGATCATGACATGAGCTGAAGACAGATGCTTAACTGACTGAGCCATCCAAATTATTCTTACCTAGCCCCCAAATCATTCTTGATTTTTCCAATTTGAGGCAAGTCTCCTCTCTCAGCTTTTCCTTCAGGGACCAGCACTTCTCAGAGCAACTGACCCTTGGAGAAACATCCAGGTTCAAATCCTAGCCCTTCTAACATGTTCTAAGACCTAGGGACACGCAAGTTCCAGTGCCTCCATTTTCCTACCTGTGCAGTGGAGATAAAGTACGTAAAGCCACTGGATTTGTGGCAGGAGCTTCTAACCTGCAAGCATCTCAAAACTTCACATACCCCAAGCCCAAGCCTACTCCTTCCCTGAGTGGACTTATTTTAGCAAACGTCAATTCCATTTTTTCATGATCTAAACCAGAAACCTTGGAATTATCCTCTTCTACCTTTACCCCCGGCTCCTCCACTTCAGCCTCACTGTCTGCTCCCACCTCAGGGCCTTTACACTTACTATCCCTCTACTTGGAATGCACTCCATCACATACCCCACTGGTGTTGGCCACAGGGCTTTACATCACATGAAGTGCATCCTATCTTCTATGTACATATGATAATGGGATATAACTGGCAAACAGCTATCCTTCTATGATAGAAAAGAGCCTCCCACCACTTTCAAGGGACAACCATTCTATGCTTCTGAAGTAAGTGAGGACTAAAAAGAGCACAGCCCCAAATCAAATGCTTGCTCTTATGTGCCCGCCACTTGGAAAAACACACAATAAACATGTGACTGTATGTCAAGGGTAATGAGTGTATAAGAAGAAAGCAAGTAGGAAACATGAGTAGAACCCTAGGCCCTGGGGGTAGTGTAGATGCTACTTTTTTTTTTTTTTTTTAGATGCTATTTTCTGTAGGCAGGTAGGTCGAGCAGAACTTTTCTCCCATAAAGTGCCATCTGAGCGCGCGCCTAAAAGGAAATGAAGGTGCAAACCCTGTCAGTCTAGGGGTAGAGCCTTCCAGGGAGAGAGAACAGTGAATGAAAATGCCCTGGGCCCAGAACTTGCAGGCCAAAGTCGTCAAAAGTGTTTTTGGGCTTTCCAAGTTGTGCGTGATAGACATATGCCACAGAGCAGAGAACACAAGTGGGCCACAACTGCAGCCAGGTTCTGGTGTAATGGGGTACTTAATGCTGTAGTGCGTTTCAACAGTTTCGAGCCTGTGTATAATGTCTAATCCCAAAGGATAGGGATTATAACAGAAAGCACTTACTGAGCATTTAAGGGCAGGCACCAGAATGAGATCATGTTCATTATCACATTTAATCCTTTCAACCTTGAGGAAGGCCCACCATACAGATGAGGAGGAGAGAGTACAGAAGAGGTATAAGGTCCCCAGTCAGCTCATAGGCAGCTGAATCAGAATTCTCCCAGAGAACATCTGGGTCCAGAGTGCCCCCACCCCCCCTTCCCTGCTCCACTGGGTCTAGGTCTAGGCTGTTTCAGGTGGCCCAAGTGCTCTGTTCTGCCCCTCCTGGCCTATCCCAGGTTCCACCTGCTTTTACTTTAGTTCAATTAACTTTACTCCACCTTGTTCTGGTGTCTTGTTTCATGACCCCATATTTATTGTTTCCCCCATCTTTCCTATCTGCCAGCTAGTTTTCACTTCCTGTGAAGGTTTACCCATAGACGGCTGGGTAGTTACTTAAGTAAGACTCTTATCAAATTCATCATCACCCAGAATGTGGTTCTTGGTTCTTCAGGTCCCTTGCTTCAGAGCTCATCTAACTCAGGAAGAATGTAATCAAAATATGGAGAGAATGGTACACACCCATGATGTTGATTCACTTTAAAAGGAGAACATGACCGTCAAGCAGCAACATTTGACCAGCTGACTTTCCTCATAGAAAAGCTACTCAGGAAGGCAAACCACACCACAAGGTTCCTCCACAAGCCAGGGGGATGAGTGGGCTAATCTTCCTGGCTCCACCATGGTAAGCTACATTCAGCTGCTGTTCCCAATTCCTCGAAACAGGACGCTGTCTTCTAAAAAGCCAGGGCGTTGGTCTGTCCCTGCTGTAGAATGACACCAAAGCCCTGCTTTTTAGACTTCTCTCTTGGGTGCTGGGTGGGCAGATCACAGCTCTTCTGAAACCACAAGCAATGTAGAGGCTTACGTTTTCTTAGACATTTGGATCGCCCATTTTTAGCCAACTCTGCTTCTTTGTAGGTGGCTGATCTCAGCCTACACTTGTTGAGTCTTCCAAGTCTTCTTCTCAGGGTTTTGCAGGTATCTTGGTGAGGCCTCAGGTTTTAGGCTCTGCTTTAACATTTATTAGCATAAGACTTTAGGAAATTGAAGTAACTTTCCTAAAGTCTTATCTATCAAGCTGACAGCTAACACCTGTCCTCCTCCCGAGCTTGCTCTAAGGATGAAACCTGTTAACACAATAAAGCTTTTTGAGATTTGGAAGAAAAAAGATCATGTAAATGCAAAAATGAAATAATTTTTCAAGGCAAGATCTCCCTAAGACAATAGTTGCAACAGGGAAAGAGAAGCTGACATCACAACTGGGCCCAGAAACCTGCACACAATCTACAGCCTATACAGTCTACTCAGTAGACCAGGGTCCATTACTGATGGCAGCGTGGTTCCATCTGGTCCAAGAACTGCTACCCTAAAATACACTTTCGTATCTTGGTATTTTTTTAAGATTTCTTTTAGAGAAAGAGAGAACATGTGAGTGGGGAGAGGGAGAGAGAATTGTTAAGCAGACGCTCTACTGAACATGGGGCCCAATGTGGGGCTTCATCCCAGGACCCTGAGATCATGACCTGAGCTGAAACCAAGAGTCAGACACTTAACTGAGGGAGCCATCCAGGTCCCTTCTTGATTTGAAGCCATCCACAGACTATAGAGATATTGTTTGCCTGGTCTCCCATTGTTCTTTCCCTAATCCAGATTTTGGTGCAGAGTAAATGTGATGCTGTGAAAGCAATACAAGAATCAGAGTTATAAGACCTGGTTCAAAACTCAGCTCTGCCTCCCTGTCAGTGAGGCTCAGTCCAATGTCATTCCCCTGACTGAGCTCTGGCCACCCAACTGTTAAGGGGCCCCTCAGAATTGCTGGGAGGCTGGGATGTGGTAACCTAGAGAGACTAGCATAAGGCCAGTATGTAGAAGACACTCAGAAGATGCTTAGATGCTTATTAATTTTGTTCAAAGAAGCTTGTTTAAAATAGACATGTCAGGGGCACCGGGGTGGCTCAGTCAATTAAGCATCTGACTCGATTTCAGCTCAAGTCATGATCTTGAGGTTACGGGAAGAAGCCCTCCCCTACCCCATAACAGCACTCCCTCTTTCTCTCTCTCTCAAACAAATATTTTTTTAAATATTAACAATAAAAATGTCTGGTCACAATCATTTATTTGTTTGATGAGAGAAAGCTGTTTATCATTAGTCTCCTCAAAACAGAGATTTTAACTTCTAAGGTTTTCCCAGACATCCCGAGCTCTTTTGTTTAAGAATGTTTTTTGTTGAAAAAAACACAAAAAAGAATGTTTTTTTAATCTTCCTAAACAGATAACTGTGTACAGGAGAGGGGATTTCCAGGCACCTGGGTGGCTCAGTCGGTTAAGTGTCCGTCTTCAGCTCAGGTCATGACCCAGAGTCCTGGGATTGAGTCCTGCAATCGGGCTGCCTGCTCCACAGGGAGGCTGCTTCTCCCTCTGCTTCTTTCTCTCCTTCTGTCTCTCATGAATAAATACATAAAATCTTAAAAAAAAAAAAAAAAAGACTTCCTTAGTTGCTGCTTTTGCCACCAAGACAATGGTGTATCAGCTCCCAGGCTGCTTAAGGGGTGGCAGGATTTTACTTTTGCTCTGAGGTTCGGTTGTAGCATCAATGTTGCCAGGAAATCACACGGTAACAGATTCCCCAGTCTGACTGCAAACTTGGCATCTTACTGCCCAGCGCATCCATTCCACTCTTGTATCGGAGCAGGAAACACCCTGGTAGGTTCTTTTTCCCTCACACATGGACAGAAGACTTGCTTGACCAACAGGTCCTTCTTCCCTGGGGTGCCCTTATACATATCCCCACATTGACAACCAGGAGCTGGGCAGAGGCCCTGTCGCCTGCCTGCCGTACAGGTACTTGAGGAAAGGGAAGGGTGCTGGGAAGCCTTGGGTGTAAACACTGCCTGAAGGCCGGCCTCCCACCTGGCACTGATGCAGAATTTGCATGCTGCTCTGTGGGGCTGGTGCAGGGGGAGCTGGTCCTGTGCCCTCGTGGGCCCTCTGTCCCCTCTCCCTCCCCCCATTGTGCTCCCTGGAGCACACTCCACCCCCAAGAACACCCCCAAGAAGTAGGCCTGGGTTTGGTTTTCCAGCGCCTGCACGTTTATCTCTTCCACTAGAAAAAGTATGAAAAATATGTTACATTAACAGATTTTTGGCGAGTGTCCCTTAGTCACTGGGGGCATTGTCTTAGAGGCTGACCGGGAGCAAGGTTGACCCCAGGATCCTGTTCAAGCTCTATGCCACTGAACTCTGGTTACTTTTCCTTCTGAGCCTCAACTTCCTCATCTGTAAAATGGGGACACAATACCCTTCCAGAAGGGTATACCTAAAGCATCAAGCACAGTGCTTGGCCAAAGAGTCAGACAGTAACATGGGGCTTCCTGGAATGAGGACTTCTTCTTTTTGCTCATTTGACTTTTAAAAAAACCATCTTCCTAATTGTGTTGACCAATATGTATTTATGATACATAAAACTGACTTTGTTTATACAGTTTTCAGGTCTCTAAACTAGAGCTGAGTCCCAGCACCAGCAGCCTGAAGTGTGATGGCCAGAGACCCCAGCAGCACCAGCCACAGGAGGGTGGTGAGGGAGCAAGGGGACCAGCCTCTCCTCACCCCCACTCCTTGGGAGGCAGCAAACTTTTTCTGAAAAGGGCCAGATACAGGAACTATTTTAGGCTACTGTCCCTGTTGCAACTACTTAACTCTACGGGCTAGCAGGAAAATAGCCACAGATGATACGTAAGTGAAGACTATGGCTATGCCCAGTTAAACTCTGTTTGCAAAAATAAGAGGCTGGCTGCAACAGCTCCGTGATTCCCAGACTGTGGCTTATGTTAGAATTCACCTGGGGGCTGCTTCTTACCACTCTGCACCCCCCCCACCCAGAGTTTCTGATTCAGTGGGTGGTGGAGCCTGTCATTTGCATTTCTAATTTCCCAGGTGAGGCTGGTGCTGCTGTTCTGGGAACCACTCTGAGAAACCACCGCAGCCAATCCCACTCCCCTTCTTTCTCTGTGCACCTAACACTTTATTCCTGCTGTGAATATAGCATTTATTATGTGTGTATATATATATAGATATAGTTAGTGGTCAGTGTGGGGGGGTCTCCAGGATTTTTTTTTTTTTTTTTTTTTTTTTTTTTTTTTTTTAGATTTTTAAGTAAGCTTTACACCCAACATGGGGCTTGAACTCATGACTGGGAGAGTGAGAGTATTACTGACTGAGCTAGCCCAGTGCCGCTCTGGGATCCTTCCTAATCACCTTCCTATCCTAATGCCCGACGGTAACAGTTGCTCATCATTTAGTGACTTCAAGGGAGGGTCACAGCCACTGAAGCCCCAGGTCCCTCCCTGCTCCTTGGTGGACATTTCTGTCTGGAGCTCTGTAGAGCCTACGCCCAGCCCTGCCACAGAGAAAGGAAAAGGGACTTTGTCTCCCTGCCTATCCAGAAACAGGCCAAGAAAGGAGACATTCCCTCCTCAGACTAGACCTTGAACCTGGACTGTTTCCTAAGGAAATAAACCAAGGGAGGGTGGGGGCTGGTTTGTTTGATTTTGTTATCATCATCATCATCATTATTATTTTGCTTCTAAATGGACTGTTCAATTTGTAAGGAGGCCAGGGTTCCATCCAGATGAGTGTTTGTTGTGGAAAACCACCATTTCTGAGTTACACTAAGAGAGCATTTAAAATGAACTGCAGGGGGATGCCTGGATGGCTCAGTTTATGTGCTCAGGTCCTGATCCCAGGGTCCTGGGATCAAGTCCCACACCCAGCTCCTGGCTCAGCAGGGAGTCTGCTCTCCCTCCCACTCTGCCTGCTGCTCTCCCTGCTTATACTCTCCCTCTCTGTTAAATGAAGAAGTAAAATCTTAAAAAATAAAATAAAATGAACTGCAGGGGCGCTGGGTGAGTCAGTGGGTTAAAGCCTCTGCTTTCAGCTCAGGTCATGATCTCAAGGTCCTGGGATCGAGCCCCACATCAGGCTCTCTGCTCGGCAAGAAGCCTGCTTCCCCCTCTTCCTCTGCCTGCCTCTCTGCCTACTTGTGATCTGTCTGTCAAACAAATAAATAAAATATTTTTAAAAAAATGAACTGGAGCCACAGCTTTTGCTCACATCAGACAGAATCCAGTTTGGTCTTGATAAAAAGGAATGACAGTAGAGACCTTTCCATGCTTTGAGTGGCAGGAGCTTCAGCAACTCATGGATCTGCCTCCCTCTCCTGGAACTTACTGCCTCCCTCTTGGTTTTTACTCCTGGGACGCTCTGCAAGAGGCAGGTGTGGAGTGGCACGTGCTTCCCCCCACCTCCTTTGAGGAGGACACATTGGCAGGAGCTCCGCAGAGACAGAGCTGAACAGCGGGGTAACGGGGGTAATCCCAGTCATGGGCTGGCTGCAAACTGCAGATGTGACTGTGACCTCCCTCTTTCTGATTCCCAGGCCTGTCTCAGGGAGGCTTACACAGGATTTCCTTTGGTCTGTGAAGTTTTACCACCATCCCTACCTAAGTCCCGTCCCTCACTCTCTCCTTTCCAAATTATTAGACAAAACGGGGATTCAGGACTCCTTCCCCTCCCCACCTCGATGGGCTCCCTGAACACTGCCCAAGTTCCAGACAACATTTGCTGCCCCTCTGGACTGTAGCGCACATGGCTAGGACCCAGTAACCTGGAGCACGGGCAGTCAGC